ATGCACTATTGTACCACCTCTTTCATTTCCTTCGTAATTTAACATACATCAATTTGATTTACTTAGTCAAATATTATTTAGAATAATTTGACTATAATGAATATGAATTGGTACTTACGTATTTGGCGTTCATCGTACTGTCTAATCCTCTCAGGCCACATTTCAAAGATTTCTGACGTACCATCATCTTCAATTACCCTATCTTCAGATTCTTCATCATTCCACTTTCTCAGATCATCCAGGCAACGCAAACGAATGTTCTATTCGCCTCAGTAAAATTTGCAGTCAATGTGTATCTTAACCAGGTATCTAAACGATATACGTATGTCGCACGACGTTCACGTGGTGGAAATATACTGAAGGTTTGTACATCATAGAATCTTGAATAAAATATCCGGTTTTGTATTGTTCTATAAGACCGATGTCATCTTCTTCTAAAGAATAGTAATCCAGTTCATTAGCAGACATTTTAGGTGGTTATGATAAAAAGTATGGTAATTCGTAAATTTTTGTTCAGAAAGATGATGAGAGGTTTATTTTCCGTCCGTGGTATAAGTGCTGAATTGCTAATTTACAAGTCAAGCGATGGCGTTTATATAGAAAATTCGTTTTAATCGTAAAAGTATTCTTGCATAAAAAGTTGAATGCTAGTTCTATAGTAGTAACAAGGTTAAAGTAATTTACATATATCATACAATGTATAATCATACGACCAATACATCATAATTTATTCGATACAACATATCAATCATACAATCGTAATCTAACGGATGCAAGCGTCGAAAATCTCTTTTTCGTTGTAGCATTACAAAATTTGTTAATTTTTTAAATAATGTCTATTAAATTACAAAGAACATGTCGAAAGCAAAACAGAATTGGCTTCGGAGGTGGTAGAAACTGGTGAACCGGATGAAGGCTCACAGACTGTAAGCCGTCATGAGGCTATACGCCAACTTGCAAGAGAGCAAGTGCGATGTAACGTCGAATTAATAAGAAATATAATGACTAGTGCAG